GTCGCAGATAGCCCTATGAACAGCAGTCTGAATACATTGGCTTGTCTATCTGGTCAGAACTAAACTGTATTCAGACTGCTGTTCATAGGGCTATCTGCGACAGGTAAGATATTAGCAGTTCAGAACTTTACCTCAGAAGGTTTGAATTATCTCTTCAAACAACAAGTTGACTTAAAAACAGGTCAAATGAAATAATAAATGTTTTCTTTTTTTTTTCAGGTGCTCCAGTCATCGTAGGGATGAGCATCAACATAGCCAGCATCGACTCCATCTCAGAAGTAAACATGGTGAGTTGAAATTTTCTCAGGCTGACGTCAGACCCAACGTTCAGCTGCATTCAAAGTCTACATTTTCTCATCTCACTGCAAGAACATCTTGTAAGATGCTCACAGCCTTTCCTGTGAAGTGTTTCAGTGAGATGAACTCGCAGGAGGTTCACGCTCATCGACACACAGTGTTGAGCTGCTGATAATTTACTGGCAGTCAGAAACTCAGGCTGAGCAGAGAAAAGTACAATATGGCTGATTTGTAAGACATGACGTCACTGTCTCTCAGCTCTTTAAATTCACTCAGCGTGACAAACTCAGTCTCCTAGATGCAGCTGCCTTTCTTTCTTTTTATGACATCACAGGGTCCATGGACAGTCTACAACACAAATAATATTTGTTCAGATGGATATATTTTCTCTACTTTGACAGAAAATAAAGCCACTTAGATTGTTTTCTATTATTAACATGCCTTCATTTTTGTACGCTGACAATACAATACAAACAGTGCAACAAAATTTTATTTTTTTGTTAAATAAGACTTGTCCAAAGCAACCTTGTTGTCTTTATGGTGTTATTAACCATTGATTAATAGAATGGTTTCATATAGTAGTGAGCACAGCAAACCAAAAAGTTATCTTTGCTAACTGCTAACTAAAAAAAATCAGCTTCCCTCACGCTAAACCACTAAACAGGTAAAAATAAAAACAACAGTGGAAGCTAATGCTAACTGCTAACTTTTATCATACGCTGCTGTTGCTGACACTGTATGAATGTCTGCAATATGACATTGTAAGTGAACACAACTCAAAACAGTTCATAAATCACAGCTAAAGCTTCCTTGAACCATTCAGAGGTGAATTTTCAAAAATGTATTTGGTCCAGCGGATCAAGAGACAGAGCTCTCGGCACCACGGGGGAGTAAAAGAATGTCGCTGCAGTGGGAATTTGCAGCCTTTCAACTCGTGTTTATGTTAACTCAGTATTTATAATTTAAAAAAAAACACTAAAAGACTAATATTTGTATGTCACAGATTAAAGCAAAGATGTGTGAAGTGTGTGAGAGAGCCACATCCCAGAGACTGTGTGTGCTGCAAAGGATTTTGGGTAACCTTGTAGAAATTATGTGTGCAATGTGTCTGACTGTTTACGGTGTAGCTGATCATGGAAATTGGTTGTTCTTGTTAATGTCCTCTTCAGGCTTGGTTTGGCATTTACTGTATGTTAGTTGCTGTTATTGGCTGTAAACAGACACCATGAGTCAGAGGTTGTTCCTGGTATGTATGAGGGAAAGCAATGTGATCTTAGCTTTGTGAAGACTAGCTTTGCTGAGCATTGTTTCCATTAGTGGACTTAAAGTTACCAGACCTTAATTTTACGAAAGATAATTGATCTGCTACAAGTTTCCAAAGTTATCAAAAATGCTTATCTGTTAAATGAAAAGTTAGTTCTACTATTAGCTGTTAGCAAATTAGCAGAATCGTGCCCACTACTGCAAATGCAAAACCTAGTTTTTGTTTCAAAATGTTTGTTTTTTTTTGTTTGTTTGTTTTGTAGAACCAATGAATTTTTCACTAAACATGTTTTTACTGGCTGATTTAGGCCAGTTTAATTTGTTGAGGTTACTGTGAAATATGCTGGATTAAAAAAAAAAAAAAACCTTCAAATGATCAAATAACCAGTAAATCCATACAGTGAAGGGACTGGAATTTTAAACAAAAACACTTTTGTAATTGGTGATTATAAATCAACTTTCGTTAAATATTTGAATGCTTGTATTCTGACAGGACTGCAGGACCCACGCAGCCCTGAAAAGTGGAAGCTTTTTTTTTTTTTTTTTTATGGTTATGGTATTCAGACAGTACAGCTGAGCTCATACATAATCATAGTTTACTCTTTATAATTCTTTCAAAATAAAAGCAGAAGGCATAAACCGACGCTGGGACTCTGTTGTATTTTTTTTAAATTTTTGTCAGGAGTGGGTGGGTGGAAATATTGTCTCTGTTTTAAATAAAATTCTTCCAAATTTGCTTTTCCAACCGGTCAGCAAACTGAAACAATACACAGGCAACAGAAAAACACACATACTGTAAAGTATTTAGCATAGCCTGTGTGAACAGATGTCCAGGGTTTTCTTTGTGAGTTTATATTTGTTTCTCTCCGTTACTCCACAGGACTACACCATCACAATGTATTTCCAGCAGAGCTGGAGAGATAAGCGTTTGGCCTACGGTGAGCTGAACCTAAACCTGACTTTGGACAACCGTGTAGCAGACCAACTTTGGCTCCCTGACACCTACTTCCTTAATGACAAGAAGTCCTTTCTTCATGGCGTGACGGTGAAAAACCGTATGATCCGGCTGCATCCCGATGGCACCGTCCTTTATGGGTTGAGGTAAGAACGATAGAAATGCCTTGTATCACAGGTTCTACATCATTTATTTTTGTTTGAACACCATTTATGGTGTTTCAATATTTTTTACATTTACATTTTGTATATAATAAACCATTCATAACTGCTAATATTAACAATACTGGGATTGATAGGTGGCAGCACGGTGGCGCAACTGGTAGAGCTGCTGCCTCTCAGCGAGCAGGTCCCTGGTTCAAACCCCGGTCCAGGGTCCTTTCTGGGTGGAGTTTGCATGTTCTCTCCGTGCATGCGTGGGTTTTCTCCGGGTACTCCGGTTTCCTCCCACAGTCCAAAAACATGCATGTTAGGCTGATTGGTAACTCTAAATTGTCCCTAGGTGTGAGTGAGAGAGTGAATGTTTGTTTGTCTCGTTTGTCTCTATGTGGCCCTG